GGGCGCACCGGGCCATGCCTGCAAAGTGACGTTGCGAGGCGCCGCGACGACGTCCGAGGGCTTCTTCGGGGAGGAGCGGGTTTTTTTTTGTGTGTTTTGTGTTGTGTGTTTGCCGTGCAAACGGGAGCTTTGTCGAAAAGTTTCGAGCTGGAAGTAGTTGGGAGAGCAGCGGTTCTCACTGCGAACCTCCGACGTGGTGAGAAAGTTGGCGGCCCGGGATTGTTTGGTTTAGTTAGGGTCGAGTGGTCCCTGCTGGCCTCGAACTTAGGATCCTAGGGGGAAGCCCTCTCGTGCTTGAGATGATAGATTACAGGTGCGCGAGCCATCACATCAGCCCTAGAATTGGCGCTCCCCCCCCCTTCCCCCTCCACGAGACAGGGTTCTCTGTATAATGCCTTGGCTCTCCCAGAATTCACGCCGCTGACCAGGCTGGTCTCGAACTCACAGAGATCCGCCTGCCTCTACCTCCTGAGTGCTGAGATTAAAGGCGTGCGCCACCACCGCCCAGCTTCCCCCCCCCCCCTTTAAATAGAGACAGCAACTTGGTTTTTACATTATTTGAAAGATTTAATAAATTTTCTAAATTTTTGCAAATGACCATACAATCAATAACTATATGACTAGGGAAAGGGATTCCCATTTCCTTTTCTCAACTAAAAATTCAGAAATTGAATGCATTGTAGAGACAAAAAAGATTTTGTGCATGTTATCGCTATTTCTGATGTTGTTTACAATATGTTTTCGATATACTCTTACGCATTTTTAAGGAATGGATTGATTTTTCAAGGGCTTGAAAGTAAGCTTTAGAAACTTGAAGCTCCGAGTATTGGGTACTAGTGTTGGATGGCTCTGGAACTTGAGCTGCAGGTGGTTGTGAGCCACCTGACGGGTACCGGGAATTGAACTCAGGTCCTCTGCCAGAGTGGTATGTGTTCTTAACCCCTGAATTGTCTCTTCAACCCTGAAAATAATCCTTAAAGAAAGTGATTGCAGTACTTTCTTGTTTCTGCTTTTTGCCTAAGCTTATGTTCTATTCCTTTTAAAGTCGTATGACTGGACAAGAAGGAAAAGAAGTCATTACAGAAATTGAGAAAAATCTTCCTCGGCTGTACACAGTTTTAAAGGTCTGTGTGTGTGTGTTTTTTTAATGACTCTAGACAGGGCCTCCCTCTGAAGCTATGGCTGGATCTCACTAGATTGAGTCCCTTGGAATCTTTACTTAGCCTCCCAAATGCTGGGGTTCCAGGTGCAACTCCTGACTAGCTGTCTAGTAAATGATTCTTTACTTTGTCTATAGCATTACCCAGTGCATTGTTAACACCCTGAATAACACAGTATTAGCAGTTATGTTGACAAGGTTGCTGTATCTTTTCTTGATTACTATGGTTCATCAGGTACTCTTTAATTACCTTATGTGTTCTCTCACTTTAATTGTCTATACTCTAGGCCTCTGGCATGCTAGTAAAGTGCTCTGTATGTACCATGAAGCTATATCCACAGCCTGAGTTTGCTCTTTAAGCCCCACTTTTCAGGTTAGCAAATTGGTGTGTTTGCTAAAATGTTCAGGGCTTTCTGAATTCAAAGCAAAAAAACAATTGTCACAGATAAAATCTGTTTGCTTTTGGAAGTATACGAGTATGTTATCCTAAAATGGCAATTATTTTTGGTCTACTCTTGAGATAGATAGCATTCATATACTCATATACATACATATTTTTGTGGGGCAAGGGAGTTGGAGGCAGTTTCCTGTAAAGCCGTGGCTGGGAACCGGGTAGCTAGCTATATGACGATCCTCCTGCCTCTGCCTCCCAGATGTTGGGACTACAGGCTGGCACTGGCAAACTCCACAGTACATGTTATTTGTTTTTATTCATATTCAATTTTTGATAATTATGCCTGGTTGGAAAATTGTTAACACTTTAGAAGAATAGAGTTGACTTGTTTTCTTTGTTTAGTGGTGATAGTTAATATCAGAATATCAGACAGTCTGTAGTCTTAGCCTCACTTGACCACTTAATGACTTCATGACATGCCGTTTTTTAATATTCTTGTTTTTAAAATGAAAAGATTGAACTCATATCCCAACCTTATTGAAATTATTACTATTTTTTTTGACAGGGTCTCTAGTCCAGGCTTGCCTTGGACTTCTATATAGCTGAGGATGACCTTGAACTTCTGATCCTCCTGCCTCCCAAGTGCTGGGATTACAGGCATGTGCCACCACTTTGCAATTATGCAGTGCTGGGGATTGAACCCAGGGCTTCATGCATGCTAGACAAGTACTATACCAGCTGAAAAGTACATCCCCAGCCCCAAATTTCTTGAACATTTTTTTTAACTTTAAGATTGAGTTAAAATGCTTAATATGTAGTAGATACTTGGGAATTGCTCCATTGCAACTGCTTCCCTTTCTTAGTCCTAGAGGAAGAAGGCATTACTCATTCTAAAGCTAGGATATCAACTTGCATTTGAGACTTCGCTTGTTTATTGTAGAAGAACCATGCTCATGTTTGTTTCCTGTCTAATAACATCTTTCATTTGTTGGCCTTTTCTTTGTTTTTGCATGGATATGTGGGAGATGTCACTTATCTTTTCTTAAAAATGTTCTTTCAGTTGATTTAAAATTTTTTTTTAAGTTTATGGGTATTTACCTGCATGTATGTCTATGTACCACAAGTGTGCAGTGACCATAGAAGCCAGAAGAGGGTGTCAGAGCCCCAGGAATTGGAGTTATAGACAGGTTGTGAGCTGCCATGTGGGTACTTGGAACCAAATGTAGATATTCTACAAGAGTAACTGCTGATCTTTCTTTCTAACTCCTGTCAATCTTTTTCTGGTTCCCTTCTCCTTTGCCAAACTTCCCTGTTTTCATTTACTCCCAGAAAGTTGGCTGATTGATTGGATTAAAATGTATTGGATTTGGGTTGTAACTGGCTCTGATTCTAGAAATTGTTTCTCTGCTGTGAATGTGATTTTGATTTTTTTTTGTAGGCTCACATTTCCAGTCAGAACTCAGAATTGAGTAGTGCTGCTCTACAAGCCTTGGGATTTTGCTTATATAATCCCAAAATTACCTCGGGATTATCAGGTAGGTAAAATGATTAAAACTATTAATATCTGTTGAGTTTAAAGTATAGTTTAATACAGTTAAAGTACTGTTTATGGATTAATTTCATAATTTGTAGTTTAGGACTTTCCCACTTCCTCCCATTTAGGAAAACATTTACTTAGTACATGTGCACCTACACTCAAGGTCAGAGGGCAATTGCCGGAATCCTAGCTTCTAAGTGGGTTCTGGGATTGAATTTATCATAAGGCTTAATGGCAAGGGCCTTTGCTGGTTCAGTCTCTTATTGGTCCCAGGCCTTTTTTAGTAGGATACACACACACACACACACACACACACACACACCCCCATCCTACTAAAAATTATATGTATAAAATTATATATCCTATAAAAATTGTACATATGTAATTTTATTTCCCTTCTGGTTTTTCTTTTTTCTTTTTTTTTTTGTTTTTCAAGACAGGGTTTCTCTATGTAGCTTTGCACCTTTCCTGGAACTCACTTGGTAGCCCAGGCTGTCCTTGAACTCATAGAGATCCGCCTGCCTCTGCCTCCCAAGTGCTGGGATTAAAGGCGTGTGCCACCACCGCCCGGCTTCCCTTCTGGTTTTTCAAGACAAGGTCTCCCTATGTGCCTCTGGCTGTCCTACAACTTGCTTTGTAGACCAGGCTGTCTTCAAACTTAGAGATCCACCTGCCTCCACCTCCTGAGTGCTGGGATCAAAGTTGTGTGCCACCACCACCAGGCTAGAATGTATTTTTTAAATCTGAAGTTAACACTAATTTATCTGACAGGCATATTTTCTAAGGAACTTAATGAGATGATGAGGTCTTAGCAGTAGTCAGTGTTAGTTTGGAAGTGGTATTTATTGAAAGTATAGAGCCCGATATTTTCCAAGTGTTAAGTAATAAATACTATTGCTTTGTAGTTAGTAGTTTGCGATTGTAAAGGAAACCTACAAGATGACTATTAGGAACTGAGAGGTGGGTAATAAGGATATCTTAAAGTTGTTAAAGAGGTGCAGTGTTTTTTCTTTTGTGTAAGACTTGTTAGCATCCTAAGATGACAATAGTTAACTGAGTTATGTAAGATAAAAGGTTTGCAGTCTGCTATTGTCTGTTTTCTTAACTGGCTTTTGCTTTAGTCAGGATTTTGTATTTTGGCAAGAAGTGTGTGATACCAGTCAGCATCTCTACAGATTGATCATCTCCAATTTCTGACTCCCCCACCTGCCTTTATTTTTATTTTACTTTTATGTTTGAGATTTTAAAGATTTTAATTATGCTACATAATTGAAATTAAAACTTGCTTGTTTTTCAGAGGCAAATATTCAAGAACTGCTTTTAACCTTGAATGGTATCATTAAGAGTTCAGACAAAAATGTGTGTACCAGGGCACTGTGGGTAATATCCAAACAGACGTTTCCCACTGAACTTGTTAGCAAAATGGTGAGTATAGTTCTGGGGTGTCTGAATTATGTGCCAATAAAACAGTTCTGGTTCATTTGATTTGTATGTGTTTGTTTTGTCATTTAGGTTTCCAGTATTATTGATTCATTGGAAGTGATACTAAGTAAAGGAGAGGTACATTCTGCTGTTGTTGATTTTGAAGCATTAAATGTTATTATAAGGTATGCAGTTGGTTCTTGTATAAATTAGAATAATTATGCTTTGGAGTTTGGGGTTTGTATATATGAAGATGAGATAGATACTAAACTATGGGGCTGGCAATTTGCTACCAAGCCTGACAACCCGAGTTCAATCTCTAGAACCCATGTGAAAGGAGAGACCATATTCCTGCAAGTTCTCTGATCTCCACACACTCTGGATGTGTAGACACATGAGCTGGTACATGCAGTACATGTACATGCACACACAAAAAAACTAAAACGGGGTTTAAAAAAACAAGTGTATGTCCTTTAGACCAAGTTAAGCAAGAGAAAGGTAACAAGATTTAAAAAAAAATCTCTAAGTTGCTGTTTTATTTTTAGTGAAACACTTGGCTACATTCCTGTTGGTAATATGTTTTGGTTCTGAAAATTGTATGTTAAGGCTTTCAGAATCCTCGTAAATGAGCTAGCCAGGAGCATATTTGCACCTTCCTCTTAGACATGCTGGCACATTTAGTAATGTTCAGTTTGATAGTATAGCTATTGTAATTACAATTGTTGGTTTGTGCATACTACTGTGCCTTTGTGGAGGTTAGAGGACAAATTGAGGGATTAAGTTCTTTTCCCCCACAGTGTGGGTTCCAGGGATCAAAACTCAGGTCATCAAGCTTACCAGCAAGCACTTTTACCCACTGAATCATCTCATCAGCTTAGACTTGGAGAAAAAAAGTTCAAATCTAAGATCAAGATTGTGCTTGCTTTAAACACTTTGTGGAAAGTTTAGGAGTGGAACTCCTGAGAGCCAGTGATAAAGTGCTTTTCAAGCAGGAGGTGCTAGCTTTAACTGCTGGTGCTGCAAAAAATAAACCACATGTGCACTACAGATGTGTACAGGGACAATTTCATCTGTTTTACTGTACATACAGTGATGTCTTGGTACAAATGCATACATTGGAGGATGTACACATTCTCAAATAATTGGCTCTGTCATGCATATTGCTGTGTGGTGCTCACTTGTCTGGTAATTTCTTTTGCAGTGTGAGGGAGCGATTTGAGCATACTAGGCAAATATTCTACCATTTAAGTTGCACCACAAACCAAATGTCTTTTTCTTCCTTCCTTTTTTTTTTAATTCAAGACAGAGTCTCACCAAGTTGCCTAAGGCCTTGAACCTTGTGATCATAGCCACTTGAAAAGTTGGATTTATAGGCCTGCATCCCCTGGTCTTGCTTCTTGATAATTTAACTTGGCCTCACTTCTTAGTTTAAATTAGTTATCTGTTTCTCTGTTGTAGGCTAATTGAACAAACCCCAGTTCAAATGGGAGAAGAGTCTGTGAGGTGGGCTAAATTGGTCATACCATTAGTTGTTCACTCAGCTCAAAAGGTACATTTGCGGGGAGCCACTGCTCTGGAGATGGGGATGCCATTGCTGCTTCAGAAACAGCAAGAAATAGCCTTGATTACAGAGCACCTTATGACTACTGTAAGTATTACCCTTTGCTGAATTCTGCGTATAGTGGTTTCTACCTTGAGCTTACAATTCATCCTTAATTCGTTGGTACAGTTATACCATGACTGAGGAGTTTTGTTTTGAATCAAAAACAAACATTTGAGCTCAATGAAGATTGCTAGCTTAGCATGCACAATGCCTGTGAATAATCTTAGCCATCAGAAACAAAAGAAACAAATGTAGAAAAGTTGTTAGTTTATACAAATTACTCCTATAATAACAAGTGAATTGTTTTAGTTTTTACAAAAGTTTAAATATTTTAATCCCTTCTCTAGTGAATGATGAATAAAGCGGGATTATATTTCTGAAAAAGAAAGATTGTAATGGATTCAGTTAGTATAGCATCTCAGTAGATACTCATCTAATGCTTATGAGGTCATGTACATGTAGTTTCCTAGTTACTGCTTCAGGTCTTAAGTTTACCAACGACTCTACTAGCAACATTTATTGAACATCATCTTTTTTTAAGTGAATTGTTTCTAAAGGCATTGTGACTGTGTAAACTGTGAGGTTTATTTTCTAGTATAAGAAAAAAGATGAGGCATAATAGTATAAAGAAAAGGTTAAAATTATTAAGATTATTGATTTTAAAAATCCAGTATAAGAATTGGCCATGTGAATAATAATAATAATAATAATAATAATAATAATAATAATAAATAATAATAATAGTGTCAGCTCATTTTAGGTGAGAAAGTCGTGACTGCCAAGGGCACCTTTATATTTGTGCACCCAGTTGGTTTTTAGGGAATGTTGTTGTGGGATGCTTTTCTTCAGTGGAAGGGAATGACAGATAAAGAGCAGGTAATCACATAGGAATAGGACTTGGGGACTATTGTATGTTGGCTTCTGTTATTCTGAGATAGGTCTCATTCTTTAGTCCTGAGTGGCCTGGAGCTCTTTGCATTGAATTCAGAATTTCTGCCTCCTGAGTCTGATATTAATGGCATGTGCCACCAAGCCTGGGTCATTATCAGGTCTTGATATTTCAGTGGATGTGCATGTGTGTGTGTGTGCATAGATACATGCACATAGAGAGGCCTGAGGACAATCTCTGATGTTCTTCAGGCATGACCCCCCCAAAAAAAAACCATTTCACTGGCCTAGAACTTGATGACCAATGATATCGAGGGGTCCCCTTTTCTCCATCTTTCCAGCTTTGAGATTTCAAACATGTACAGATTACTTTTAAACATAGGATCTGGGGATCAAGTCTGGGTCCTCATGCTTGCATAGCAAGCCCTTTACCAGCACATGAAGGGTTTTTTTGTTTTTTGTTTTTTTGATATTTTTATTTCTCATAATGCTTTGTTTGGGCATTTTTTTTTTAACTTTATTGCCTTTTTGCTTATATTTTATGGTTTTCGATTTTGTGGCTTTTGTTTTTGTTTTTATTTGAAACTGGAAAATATTTTCTCAGTAGAAAATAGTAAAAATGATAACATTTCCCAGTTAGCCCTTTTAAGCCAAATAATAGCTGAATTGTACATATTGATTAGATTCTGGGACACAGAAGAAACCTATTTTCATTTGTTCAGAGAACTATGCTTTACTTAAATTGTGTAAGTGAGATTCCTATTCATCTTCCCCTTCACTGTTTCAATTTACATCAGACATTTTTCTATAGGCTAATCCATAATTAAAAAAGATTTTAGCCTCCCCTCCTGAAAGTACAGCCAGCATTTTCTTTCATCAGCTTGGTATGGTACAGATTCTTATCCTAATAGTGAAATGTTTCATTAAAGCTTGTCCAGTGATTGGACAAGATCAAAACTTATAGGCCACAGTCATCCTAGGGTCCTCCCTGCTAGGTAGCCTCCCTGCATCTGTGAGTTGCAGTCTGATTGTCCTTTACTTTATATCTGGTATCCACTTATGAATGAATACATGCCATGTTTGTCCTTCTGAGTCTGGGTACCTCATTCAGGATATTTTCTAGTTCCATCCATTTGCTTGCAAATTTCATGATGTCATTGTTTTTCTCTGCTGAGTAGTACTCCCTTGTGTATATGTAACACATTTTCTTAATCCATTCTTCAGTTGAAGGGCATCTAGGTTGTTTCCAGGTTCTGGCTATTACAAATAATGCTGCTATGAACATAGTTGATCATGTGTCCTTGTGGTATGATTGAACATTCCTTGGGTATATGCCCAAGAATAGTATAGCTGGGTCTTGAGGTCGTTCGATTCCTAATTTTCTGAGAAACCGCCATACTGATTTCCACAGTGATTGTACAAGTTTACATTCCCACCAACAGTGGAGGAGTGTTCCCCTTGCTCCGCATCCTCTCCAACATAGACTGTCATTTGTGTTTCTGATCTTAGCCATTCTAACAGGTGTAAGGCGGTATCTCAGAGTCGTTTTGATTTGCATTTCTCTGATGACTAAGGATTGAGCATTTCCTTAAATATCTTTCAGCCATTTGAGATTCTTCTTTTGAGAATTCTCTGTTTAGCTTGGTATGTGGTACCTATCCAGAAAATTGTCCATTTCTTTTAGATTTTCCAATTTTGTGGAGTACAGGTTTTTAAAGTATGGCCTCACGATTCTCTGAATTTCCTCATTGTCTGTTGTTATGTCTCCCTTTTCATTTCTGATTTTGTTAATTTGGGTGCTCTCTCTTTGTCTTTTGGTTAATTTGGCTAGGGGTTTGTCTATCTTGTTGATTTTTTTTTTTTTTCAAAGAACAGACTCATTTGTTTCATTGATAATTTTTTTTTTTTTGTATTCTCTCAATTTGATTATTTCCTGGTGTCTATTTCTCCTGGGTGAGTTTGTTTCTTTTTGTGCTAGAACTTTCGGTTGTGCTTTTAATTAATTGGTATGAGATTTCTCCATCTTCTTTTTTTTTTTTTTTTTTTTTTTGGAGACAGGGTTTCTTTGTGTAGCTTTGCACCTTTCTTGGATCTAGCTCTGTAGACCAGGCTGGCCTTGAACTCACAAAGAACCGTCTGGCTCTGCCTCCCAACTGCTGGGATTAAAGGCGTGCGCCACCACTGCCCAGCCCAAAAAAAAAAAAAAAAAAATTAAGGAAAATTCTCCATCTTCTTTATGTTTGGGTATGTTGTACTTTCATTTTCATTGAATTCTAGGAAAAATTTAATTTTTCTTTATTTCTTCCTTGACTCATTGATGTTTCAGGTGGGCATTATTCAGTTTCCATGAGATTATAGGCTTTCTATAATTTTTGTTGTTGTTGAAGTCTTAACTTTAATGCATGGTGGTCTGATAAGATACAGGAGGTTATTACAATGTTGTATCTGTTGAGATTTGTTTTGTGACCAAGCATGTAGTCAATTTTTGAGAAGGTTCCATGGGGTGCTGAGAAGAAGGTATATTCTTTTGTGTTGGGGTGGAATGTTCTGTGGATATCTATTAAGTCCATTTGAGTCATAACATCTGTTAGGTCCTTACTTCTCTGTTAAGTTTCAGTCTGGTAGATCTCCTTTGGTGAGAGTGGTGTGTTAATCTAGTGTGTGGGGTTTGATGTGCGATTTCAGCTTTAGTAATGTTTCTTTTACAAATGTGGGTGCCTTTGTATTTGGGGCATAAATGTTCAGAATTAAGACTTCATCTCTCATCTTGGTGGATTTTCCCTGTGATAAATATGTAATGTCCTTCCCGACCTCTTATATTTTATTTGTTTATTTATTTATTTTGTTTTTTTTCAAGACAGGGTTTCTCTCTCTCTCTTTTTTTTTTGGTCTCTTTCCTGGATCTCACTCTGTAGACCAGGATGGCCTCGAACTCAGAGAGATCGGCCTGGCTCCACCTCCCGAATACTGGGATTAAAGGCGTGTGCCACCACTGCCTGCCCTATCTCTTTCAATTGATTTTAGTTTGAAGTCTATTTTATTAGATATTAGGATAACTATACCAGTTTGCTTCTTAAGTCCATTTGATTGGAAAGCCTTTCCCAGCCTTTTACTCTGAGGTAGTATCTGTCTTTGAATTTGAGGTGTGTTCTTGTATGCAGAAGGATGGATTCTATTTTCGTATCCATTCTGTTAGCCTGTCTTTTTATAGGTGAGTTGAGACCATTGATATTGATGGATATTAATGACCAGTGATTGTTAATTCCTGTTATTTTTTGGTGGTAGCGTTGTGTTTCCCTTCTTTGGTATTTGTTGGTGTGGGATTATGTATTGCCTAAGTTTTTATGGGTGTGTTTAATTCCCTTAGGTTGAATTTTTCCTTCTAGTGCTTTCTGCAGTGCTGGGTTTGTGGATAGGTATTGTTTAAATCTGGTTTTATCATGGAATATTTTGTTTATTCCATCTGTGGTGATTGAGAATTTTGCTGAGTATAATAGTCTGGGTTGCCATCTGTGGTCTCTTAATGTCTGCATAACATTTGTCTAGGACCTTCTAGCTTTCATAGTCTCTATTGAGAAGTCTGGTGTTATTCTGATGGGTCTGCCTTTATATGTTACTTGGTTTTTGTCCTTTGAGGCTCTTAATATTTTTCTTTGTTCTGTATGTTTAGTATTTTGATTATCATGTGGCAAGGGGACTTTATTTTTGGATCCAGCCTATTTGGTGTTCTGTTAGCTTCCTGTATCTTCATAGGTATTTCTTTCTTTAGGTTAGGAAAGTTTTCTTCTATGATTTTGTTGAATATATTTTCTGTGCCTTTGAGTTGGTAATCTTTTATTCCTTTTAGCCCTATTATTCTTAGTTTTGGTCTTTTCATGGTATCCCAAATTTCCTGGATGTTTTATGTTATGATTTTCTTGGCTTTAGTGTTTTCTTTGATTGAATCTATTTTCTCTATTGTGTCTTCAACGTCAGAGATTCTCTGTTTCATCTCTTGCATTCTGTAGGTTATGCTTGTATCTGTAGTTCCTGTTCGTTTAGTCAGATTTTCTATTTTCAGCATTCCGTCAGTTTGAGTCTTCTTTATTGTCTCAGTTTCAATTTTCAAATCTTGAACTGTTTTCCTTCATCTGTTTAATTACTTTTTCTTGGCTTTCTTTGATTTTTTTTTCCAATTTTTTTTTCCTTCCATTTCTTTAAGGGATTTTTTTATTTCTTCTTTAAGAGAGTTTTTCATTTCCTCTTTTAGGGACTCTATCATCTTAAAGTCATTTTTAGGATTGATTCCTTCTGCTTCATGTGTGTTGGTATGTTCAGGTCTTGCAGGTGTAGAATTACTAGGTTCTGATGGTGTCATATAGGTCTTTATGTTGTTGCTTATATTTTTGCACTGGCGTCTACTTAATCTCTTCCTCTGCTCGGTGCAGGCAGTGTCTGTGAGGGTGCCTCTTCTTGTTATAATTGATAGTCTTCCTCCACTGGGAGTTCTTGGTCGAATCGGTGCTGTTGGGCTCTGTTTCTATGGGAACAGCTTAATCCAATCAGTGTTAGTGAGTTCTGTCTCAGGTAGCAGTTGTTCCCAATCGGTGCAGGGTGGGCTTATGGCTCCAGTGGTTGTTGGTGTCCCGTGGGATGATTTTTTTGGCCAGGGGGCAGTAAAAGAGGCCGCTGTCTGGTCCCTGGGGTGGTTGTTCCCGGTTGGTGTAGGGTGGCTTATGACTCTGGTGGTTGTTGAGCTCGCAGGGACTTTTTTTTTTTTTTTTTTTTTGTTGAGGGAGCAGGGAAAGGTAGCTGCCTGGTCCCTGGGGCCTAGGGGCCTAGGGGCTAGAGACTTGGTCTGCTGGTCCGGAGATGGGGCCTTACCTCTTCCCAGTTCGTGTATGGGCTTATGACTCTGGTGATCTGGTTCGGCGGCCGGACGGCTCCTTCTCTTGCATTCTCAGGTCACGTTTTGCTGGCTTTCCAACTCCTCAGCTGATCTTGTTTCCTCAGACTGCAGGCTGTAGGCTTCTGAATCCCCTCTCAATGGATCTCAGCTAACAGGTTGATCAGTAGGGTAATCTCACCAACACCTCCAAGTTGTTGGGCTTCGCAGGATGGGCAGCTGGGCCTGGAGTTGGCTTCAGGCAGAATGTTTGGGTCTGTTATTTATGGTCATGTCCCACTGAGACAGCTCCTTCCCGGAGTGCTGGGATTAAAGGCGCTTGGTTTGTTTTTTAGATAGGGTCTCTCATGTATCCCAAGTTAGCCTCAAACATTCTCTCCCATGAAGTTTTTATTGGTACCATGATTTATATGGAAAGCCACATGTTAGTTACTTGTTGCTGTGATGTAATAATTAGAAGAATAAGCATAGACTCTCTCAAAACACCAAGAAAAAGAATAAGCCTGAGGGATGGAGATTCTTTAGGGTACACATTTGGTTACTTGGTCCCATCATTTTTCGTCATGAACATGGTGGTAGGAGTGTGTGGCAGACTGTGTGCTGCTGCTACTCACAGGGGACGGCACACACCTGTAATCCCAGAACTTGAGAGACACAGATAAGGAGCTCTGTGAGTTGAAGGCTTGCCTGTCTTTATAACGTGTAGGCGGATTTTTCTGTTCTGCCAGCCAGCTCCCAAATCATGAGGCGGAGACTTACTGAGTATGAAAGCTCAGCTGATAGCTTAGGTTTATTTCTAACTAGCTCTTAGAACTTAAATTAACCCATTTCTGTTTATGTGCTGCCATGTTGCTCATGGCTTTTACCTCTCATCCTGCATGTCTTGCTTCCTCTGCATCCGGCTCGCAATTCCCTTTCTTCCCAGCGTTTTCTCTGCCCCAAAAATCCTGCCTAGCTATTGATCATTCAGCTTCTTATTAAACCAATCCAAATGACACATCTTCACAGTGTACAAAAAGATTATTCCACAATGATAGTGAGTAGTAGGTCATCCACAGCAGTACAGTGGGACTCCGTCTTGAAAAACAAATCAGAAACTAAAAATCATAGTGCATTGGAAACAGAGAATTGGAAGGAGCCATGGCAAGCTACGCCCTTCAAAGACTTTCCCCTCACTAATAATATGCTTCCTCCAAATAGGTCAGTTTTTATTACTGATGTGCTTTCTCTCCATAGGCCAGTCTATACATTTGAGCTAAAATGTTGTTAGTTTTTTAAAATTTTCTTTTGAAATTCATATTGTATATATGATTGTAAGTGCTAGGATATACATGCTTTGCTGTACATGGGATCAGAGGACAGTTTTTATTTCTGGAGACAGTCTCAATATGGAATTCACTGTGTAGACCAAGTATACCTTGATTTACAGAGATCAGCTTGCTCATGCCTCCTGAGTAATGGGATTAAAAATGTTCACCACCATGCCCAGTAAGAGGGCAAACTGGGAGTCAGTACTTAATGTGGATTCTGGGTATCTCTTGTTAGGTTTGCAGAAGGTAAGGCTTGAGCCATCTCATGGGCTCTTGAACTGTTAGATATCTGTTACTGTGAAGCTGTTAGTGAATGTTATTAGTATAAGAAGATTGCCACAGTATCATTTGAATTTTAGTTAATGGTGTGACTAATGAAGTTTTTAGGAAGAACTATGCTGGCAAGAAAAGGAGGAGCTGAATGGTGGACAGTAGGGTGGTCAGATGAGCATTAAACTGTTACTGGTAGAAGGGGTGCTTTCTTTAAAGCTCTTCACATTGCTGTGTGCTGTGGTTTTTGCTTTCTTTGAAGGATGTATATTTTTTTAATTTTTATTAAAGTTTTTTTTTTCTCATTCTACATACCAACCCCGTCACCTCCCCACCCCCCCATCCCCATCTACTCAGAGAGGGTAAGGCTTCCTTGGGGAGTCAGCAAAGCCTGGCATATCAAGTTGAGGCAGACCAAGCCCCTCCCTGCTGCATGAGGCTGAGCAAGGTATCCCTCCATAGAGAGTGAGCTCCACAAAGCCAGTTCATGCACCAAGGATAAATCCTGGTCCCACTGCCAGTGGCTCCACAAACTGCCCAAGCCACACAACTGTCACCCAAATTCGGAGTTTGGTCCCATTCAGGCTCCCCAGCTGTCACTCCAGAGTCAGTGAGCTCCTACTAGCTCTGGTCAGCTGTCTCTGGAATTCCCCATCATGGTCTTGACCCCTTTGCTCATATAATCCCTCCTACTCTCTTTGACCCCATCCAGTGCTTAGCTGTGGATCTCTGCATCTGCTTCCATCAGGTACTGGATGAAGGTTCTATGATGACAATTAGGGTAGTCTTCGATCTAAAGACAGGGGAAGGCCAGTTCAGGGACTCTCTGGGTTCTGGAGGATGTATGCTTTCCCTGTAGAAAAGGTTATTTGGCTCAAAATTAATGTTTGAAAATTTTTTAGACTTGGATAGTGGATTTTTTTTTACCTTTTATAGTATTTGATAAATTTTTACTTTTGTTTACAGAAATTAATCTCAGAACTCCAAAAGCTATTTATGAATAAAAATGAGACTTATGTATTAAAATTATGGCCTTTGTTTGTCAAACTTCTTGGGAAGGTAAGTGCCAAAGATAATGAAGTAGGTGTTATTTTCATTATTTGAATGTCAGAATTTTTACTTTTTAAAGAGTGCCCCACACTCAAGCTGCTCTGGAGCTCACCACTCACCACATAGCTCAAGCCCGGGCCTGAAATTTGCAGTAATCCTCTTGTATCAGCCTACCAAGTTCTGTGATTATAGATATGAACCATTGTGTCCAGCTTATGTGTGGGTGTGCATGCTCATGTGTGCTGATACACATTAACGTGTACATCCTGTGGAGGTCAGAAGTCAACCTCAGGTGTTACTCATTAGGTACCATCCACCTTGTTTGTTTATTACATTTATTTATGTGAATGATTATGTGTGAGAAATGACACCCATCAGGACTACTTGGAGTTGTTGACTCCATCCACTATATGGGCTCCCAGCAAACTCAGGTTGCCAGATGTACCTGCCTCTCTATTTGGATTAAAAGTATATGACACTATCTGCCCAGCTTCTGTCTTTGAGGCAGGAGTCTCACATTCATGTAAATTCACAGAGTAGGCAGTCGTTTCTGCCTTGCTAGCACTGGGGCTCTAAGTGTTTGGCATCATGCCTACCCTTAAAACAACATATGTGTGTGTTGTGTGCACATGCATTCCCAGACGTGTGCTTAGAGGTCAGGGCAACTTTGTGGAGTTTTTCTTTCCTGCCACTGGGGAATCAAACTCAGGTTTTCAGGCTTCTTACATGGCAGCCACATGTACTGCTGAGCCGACTCACTGGCCCTTTTGCTCTTACTCTTACTATGGAATGTCCTGGCTAGACTAAAGCTCTAGGTCAGACTGACGTTGAAAGCAAATTTGCCTGCCTCTGCCTCCTACGTGCAACCACATCCAGCTGCCTAGCTTTTGAACCTGGGCTCTGGGGCTGGATTGAACTTGGGTCCTGTCAGTGCACAGCAAGCACTTTATTGAACAAGTTAGCTGTTTCCCCATACCCTCAGCTTGTTTTCAATTGCTTGAAACATCCCAGTACTCAGGTTACAGGTTTTATGTTTGCAAGCAGTGTGGCTTTTGTTTACTGATTATTAATTCCCAAGAACATATATTAAGTGATTAAATGAATTATTTTTTGATGAGTTTTCTCTTTTCTTAGACCTTGCACCGAAGTGGGAGTTTCATCAATTCCTTGTTACAGCTAGAAGAACTGGGCTTCCGTAGTGGAACGCCCATGATTAAAAAGATAGCTTTCATTGCTTGGAAGAGCTTAATAGATAATTTTGCTTTAAACCCAGGTATGTAAATAGCTTTAAATTCTTTCCCCCATTCATTCATTCATTCATTCATTCATTTTAAGGCTTTTAGTTTATTTTCTTAGTAGATGTAATATTGTGTGTGCATTCATGTCTGTGTGTGACAAAGGCAGGGCATTTGGGCCATGGTGAGGATAGAGGACTACTTAGTGGAATCCATCTTTTGTCATTATTGCATGGGTTCTGGGAATTAAACTCAGCATTAGCAAGCCGACTTATACAGCAAGCCTAAGACACCTTGCTGGCCTTTTTTTGAGGGGGGGGGGCATTCTAAGAATGTAGATGAGGCTGAAACTAATCAAAATTTTAATTTTGTATGAATTCATTTACTGTTAAGTAAAGATTAAGTGATGAAGCCTTTTCTGATTCTTTGGGCTTTATACTGAAATGTTCTTATTAACTTTACCTTAAGGGGATATTTAAATAGACTTTGAGAGACATTGAAATTACTAATAAATGATTTAGCCTAAGTTATTTTCAGAAGTTGAACAAAATGAAAACTTATTTGTGGCTTTTTAGCCTGAATAAAACATCATGTGTGTTGTGTCTTTTTGAAATCACTACAGTAGGTCTGACTTTATGACTATTTTAGAAAATCTGATTTACCAGGAGCAATATAGACAACAGATGGCAAGACAAGTGATAGCCATGGAATGAAGATATCAATAACTTAGTTTTTCACCTCATAGTTTTAGAACTGTGCTCCAAACTGGATTCTTTAGACTTGTCTTCACCTTATTATAATGCTCAGTGGAGTATTTGTCATGTATATATGACAAAAGTACCCCCAAAACATCAGTATAAATATGTAACAGGATAGGTGTGGTGGCATACCCCTCTAATCCTAATTCTCAGGAGGTAGAATCAGGTGGATCGCTATAAGTTTGAGGTCAGTCTGATCTACATAGTGAGTTCTAGGCTAGCCAAGACTACATAGTAAAAAAAATCTGTCTCCAAACAAATAACATACCTTAGCTAGATGATAGTTTAATCCTAGATTTGATTGATAATATATGTTTATAATTTTTGTTGCATGTCTAGACCTCTTAAGAAGTGGTAATTAAAAATAAAAAAAATAAAAAAAAAATAAAAACAAAGAAGTGGTAATTGAATTAAATGATAAAGTAGTTGTAAGAAATACTAACAGGAGATTCACTTAAACTGTTTTTACTGATATTTCAAATTCTTCTGAAGTGTTTGTGATAAGATATATGTGAGCAAAGACTGTCGTAATTTTCTATACCCAGGTCATGTACACATCTAGTAAAAATATTGTTCAAAGAATTGAGTTTCAGAGACTGGAGAGAGATGGGTTAGTAGTTAAGAGTGCTTGCTGTTGCTCTTCCACAGGACCCTCACCTTGGGAGGTTTACAGCTGCCTGGATAATTCCAGCTCCCGGGGGTTTGACACCCTCTTCTGACCTCCAAGGACACCTGTGTACATGTGACATATACTACAAAAACATATACATATACATGTAAAAAATGAAAGAAACCTTAAGAATTAGCAAACAAACGAACCAACCCAGCAAAATTGGGTTTCATTTGTATGTTGAATTCTATTAGTCATTAAAGTAGGGTAGAGCTGACCCTAAAGTAGGGTGTAGCTTTCTGAAAATTTGATGGCACTAGTGGTAATGGTGCTTGATGTAAGTTACTAGTTGATTTTTAAAATAATCTTTGTTGTTGTAGTAATGTAAAATTACGCTCACATTGGCCTGTACCTCCTGATCCTCTTGCCCTGGCTTCCTGCGGGCCTGGGATTGTATGTGTGAGCCACTATGTTTCTTTACCTCCATTTCTTTTAGGAAATTATATCCTTGGCTTCAGTCCACTAAATGCCAGTATCATCTCTTCAGTTTTAGCAACCTGAAATATTGTAGATATTGCCACAGGTTGGCATTCCTGGTGGGAGTAGTAACCCTGTTATGTTACACTGTATCTTATACTAAAATGTCTATTTTGTTTTTGGTCCAGCTGTACTAGAGTTTGTCCAAGTGAGAAGTTTATTCTGACTTCTTTTGTTACAGTAATCTTTTACTTCTATTCATTTTTTTTTTTTAAGATATACTTTGTAGTGCAAAAAGACTCAAGTTGTTAATGCAGCCTTTGAGTTCCATCCATGTGAGAACAGAAACATTAGCATTAACAAAACTAGAAGTCTGGTGGTATTTACTGATGAGACTTGGACCTCAGCTCCCTGGCAATTTTGAACAGGTAACATAATTATTAACCATGTGTGTCTTTTTGTTGTAGTTTTTGTTTGTGATAGGGTCTAGCTGGGCTAGGATTCCTTACATAGATCAAGCTGACCTCAAACTCAAATATACCTGCCTCTGTTTCCTGAGTGCTGCTGGCACGTGTCCTTAAATTCTTACCATTCTAATCTCAGAGGTGTTTTGTTTTATTGTTATTTACCAGTATTATAAGTCTTTTATCCTTGATAAAAACTTGAATATGTTTCTTGTATTCTCCAATGGCCTAAAATGGTAATCAGCAAATGCCAACATATCAGTGTAGATACTTGTTTATTTAAAAAAAAATTTTAAAAATTATCTCATTTTTTATATGTATGGGTGTTTTGCCTGCGTGTAGTATGTTTGTACCCTTGATGCCAGAAGAGGCTTCAGATCCCTGAGAACTGGGGTTATGTGAGCACTATGGATGCTGGGAATCAAATCCTGGTCCTCTGTTAGAGCAACCAATCCAATACTGTTAATTGCCTAACCATCTCTCCAACACCTTTTAAAATGTTTCTTTTATGTATAGATGTTTGCCTGCATGTATATCTGCACTTCTTTCATGCCTGGTGCCAGAGATGGCCAGCAAAGGGTGTTAGATCTTTGGAACTTGAATTACAGATAGTTGTGAGGTACTGTGTGGGCACTGGGCATCAGACCCAAGTCCTCTGGAAGAACAGCAAGTGCTCTTAAAAGCTGAGCCATCTCCCCAGCTCTTCTTTATTTATAAGATTAACTTTCTTAGTGTTTATCAGTCAGCTAATTAACATTTGTGAAATAGCAAGTGCTGTACCACAAGGTTAGTAGAAATAAAAATTCCAAAGAAAAAATTTCCCTCCTTTTTCTAGATGACATAGTTATAAGCAATCACTAGTTATATAAGTGACACTAAACACTTAATTTGGTCTAAGCCTTTTGTGTGGCAATTCCATCGTTGGGGTTATTTATTTATTTATTTATTACCTATACAGTGTTCTGCCGGCAGGCCAGAAGAGGGTGCCAGATCTCATTATGGATGGTTATGAGCCACCATGTGGTTGCTGGGAATTGAACTCAGAACCTCTGGAAGAACAGCCAGTGCTCTTAATCACTGTGCCATCTCTCCAGTCCCCCATTGTTGGTTTATAATTAAAACATTAAAAGATAAATTTTACTTGTAGATCTGTAGTGTATTTCTTACATTCTAAGTAAACAGTGGTAAAGCAGGAATTGCTTTCTTGGAAGATGTGTTTGTACTTGAGCCTTTCCCCAGTGGTACCCTTTCACTTTTAAAGACATGTTCTCACACTATAAACCAGGTTGGTCTTGAGTCCATGTTTGTCTTCATCCTCTTGAGTTACACGGATATATGGATGTTATGTAGCCATGAGCCACCATGCTGTTTTCATTTGATTTTTTGGGACTGAGTTTCATAGTTCAAGGCTAGAACTTGCTTTGTAGCCATGACTAGCCTTCTGATCCTCTTGCCTTAAGTGTTGGGATTATGGGTGTGTGCGTACAGCTTTAGCACCAGGGATCAAACTCAGGGCTTTATACATGCAAGTTGAGCTACTTTCCCAGCCCAGTACTTTTGGCAGTCCTGGGTTGAACTGTGTATATACTAGAGAAGCTCTATCACTGAGCTTTATCACCAGCCTTAGTTCCTGAGATTTGGATAGAAGCTTCCTAAGTTTGATATGACATAATTGAAAATCAGCATTAAACAAATATATTTTCCAAATCCTGCCATTATAAGGTCCTAAGAGTCTAATTTAGTTGTACAACTTATTTACTGAAGAACATAGATGAGACTGGTAGTGGATGATTTTAGAAGTGAGCTTTAGCTGTCTTGATATTTTCTAACGTGACTTTTCACAGAGGCTTTGCTCACCATGGGTTTAATAGTCAACAACAAAGAATTAAAAAGCTTAAAACAACGGTTGGGGATGTAGGTAAATTGACAGGGTGCTTGCTCAGCATGCTTGGTGCCCTAGGGTCAAACTTCTGGACCACAAAAATGGAGTGTGCTGGTGCATGTCTGTATCTCCAGCACTGGAGAAGTAGAGGCAAAAGAATTAAAGTTCAGTCATCTTGGCTATATGTTGAGTTCAAGGACAGCCTGGGCTGCAGGAGACCTTGTCTGGAGAAAAAAACTTGTAACACCACCACAGCTAACTCAATTTATTTGCCAATTTATTTAATGTATGCAATTTTGTATGGAATTTAGAACTAACTGAAACAGATAATACCCCAGGCAAATACAAGTATAGAAAACTGGCCCTGTGCAAAGCTTGGTGGCGCAAGCCTTTAATCCTAGCATTTGAGAGACATTCTAACCCTTGGGAGACAGAGGCAGGTGGATCTCTGTGCGTTCGAGACCAGCCTGTCTACAGAGTGAGTTCTAGGACAGCTAGAGCTACTCAGAGAAAACCTGTCTCCAACAAAACAAAACCAAAGGAAAAGAAAAAAGCCGGGCGGTGGTGGCGCACACCTTTAATCCCATGTGTGTTTGAGGCCAGCCTGATCTACAGAGTGAGTTCTAGGACAGGCTTCCAGAACTACACAGAGAAACCCTGTCTGAAGAAGAGAAAAGAAAACTTGTCTTGCATTTCAGTTTTCTTTTGTTTGTTTGTTTGTTTGTTTGTTTGTTTGTGGGGGTTGAGACAGGGTCCTCTGTGTAGTTTTGGTGCCTGTCCTGGATCTCGCTCTGTAGACCAGGCTGGCCTCAAACTCAACAGAGATCCGCATGGCTCTGCCTCCCGAGTGCTGTGTACCATTTTCTTACCTGGTGCTCATGGAGGTCAGAAGAGGGCATTAGATCCCCTGGAACTAGATGGTTGTGAGCTCCATGTGAGTTCTGGGAACTGAACCCAGATCTACAGGAGCAAAAAATGCTTTTAACTTCTGAGCTATCTCTAACCCAAGGTCTTAGGATATTTAGACATCTATTAATTAGGGAATGGGATCCAAGTTTAACCATGAAATTCGTTTATTTTAAATTACAGTGTATATAGAATTTTACATGGCAATTTTATTTTGCTACCTCTTCCATGAGACTGCTCACATTTAGAATTAAAGTTTTATGTTTAATACTTAGCAGATCTTAAGTTTTTAATTGGCCCAATCTACCTCTGTGTCAGAAGAGTAAAGATTGCTTCTTTAAGAAATACTTATCTTGCTGGGTAGTGGTGGCTGCAGTGGCACACACCTTTGATTCCAGCACATGGGAGGCAGAGGTGGGTGGATCTCTTTCTGAGTTCAAGGATAGCCTGCTCTACAGAGTGAGATCCAGAATACCCAGGGCTACACAGAGAAACCCTGTCTCAAAAAATTTGTAAAATGTTTACAAACTTGACAATTACATTATTGTTTTGCCTTACCTATTAGGTTTGTGTGCCTCTGATTCAGAGTACAATAAGTGTTGATAGTATTGCTTCACCTCAAGGCAGTTCATCTCGAGGGTCTACTTCTCCTGGCTTAAGTCCACTGACTCCTGGACATAAAGGTGAGAGAAAAAGATTTCCTTTTCTTTTGAAACATCTTTGAAGGAGTGGCCATACTTTCCTCTGCAGACTAGGTTCTTTAAACAGAAAGTCCTTTTTATTTTTACTTTTTTTTAGAGACAGGATCTCATAACCTAGCCCTGTCTCAGGTCTTGCTGATCCTTTTGCCTCTGCTTTTCAAATATTGGGATTAGAGGCCATACTTCTGTTACCTTTGTTACTGACAACATTTAATTGGATTATCTTGCTTTGTTGGTAGGTCTCACTATGTGTATAGCCCAGACAGTTTTTTTTTTTTTTTTTTGGTTTGTTTTTCCTGTTGTTTGAGACAGTGTTTCACTATGCAGCCTAGACTAACCTGAATTCTATTTTTTGAGATGTGCTCTCACTATGTACTTTTGGCTAGCCTGGAACCCACTGTGTTGCCCAGGCTGGCTTTGAACTGGCACAAGTCCTCCAGAGGCTGGGATTGCAGCTATGTACCACCAATCCCAGCTCCTTTTGTGCTACATGAATTGATTGCCAATAAACAACACAGAATGACTAGGAAACTTACGTGGAAGATGAGTCTTAAAAGATACTTAAAATATAACAGCATTGGAAAGCAATTATTTGTCATTACTTTGTTAGCCTTTTTTTAGCGTTTTAGATTTTTTATTCAAGTTACAGAAAGGCTTGGATATTTCAGGGTATGTATTAATGTCTGAGAAATTTATATCCTGTTTTTAAAGGTATATTGTATTGATAGGAACCATAACTTGAATAATTTGGGCTTTCTCTTTTAAAGGTGCTTCTTATCCTGCAACTCCACGCATGAACCAGAGTTCAAACATAGGTGGAATGGCTTCAATCCCTTCCATTCAGCTTTTGGGACTGGAAATGATGCTTCACTTTTTATTGGGTCCAGAAGTCTTGAATTTTGCTAAGCAACACAAGCTTGTATTGAGCTTAGGTATTTGTTTTTGAAATAATTTCATGTGTTTGAAACAATCCAAAACTTAAACTGTTGGGTGATGGAGAGGCCTCTGTTTCACAGCAGCTCAATAATAGTGATAAACTTGTGTGTGAATGTGTTTAAGTCTTTTAAGAACACATTTAGATAAATTTTTTTTTGGTAGAAATATGCTCCATAAATCTTTTGGCCTGCTTGTCTTGTTCTCCCCTTCAGAGCCATTGGAGCACCCACTAATCAGCAGCCCTTCCTTCTTCTCCAAGCATGCGAATGTACTTATCACTGCTGTTCATGATAGCTTTGTTGCAGTTGGAAGAGATGCTTCAGGTAAGTTTAGGAAATGTTTTAAATTCAAAAGTCCGTGACGTCATTTGTGTGTGTGCATGTGTGTGGCCATACATGTGCCACAGGACATAGGGATGTCAGAATACAACTTTTTGGGACTCAAGTTCTTCACCTTGTGGGTCCTGGGAATTTAGGCTACCAGGGCTGAAAGCAGGCACCTTTACCCATTGAGCCATTTCACCAGCCCTTTAAAGGATGATGAGAAAGCAAATACTTCTGAGGGGTGGTGGTGGTGACGGTGGTGACGACGGCGGCGGCGGCAGCGCACAACTTTGATCCCTGCACTCAGGAGGCAGAGGCAAGTGGATGTCTGAGTTCACGGCCAACCTGGGCTACAGAGCTAGTTCCAGGGCAGCCACAGCTACACAGAGAAATCCTGTCTCATAAAATGAAAAGCAAATAATAATTTGGTGTTAACTCATTGACCAGATTGTGTACCAAAAAGTTTGCTGGTAGCATTGGGCAGGCAGAGGCAGGCCAGTCTCTGATAATTTAATGCTTGCATTGTCTATGTGGTATGTTCCAGACACCAAGGCTACGTCAGAAAAGAAACTAGTTGGATTGTACTAAGACATAAATACTGCATAAAATCATATAGTGACTGATAGATCTCCGACTCAAGCCTAGGCTCTGTGGCTTCAGTATCTGCACTTAAATTTATGTTCATGGCCTAAGAGAAATGAGTACCAGAAATGTAAAGGCAGGTGTGGTGGTTTGCCTTTATAATCCCTGTATGAGAGGTTGTAAGGCAAGAGGATTGCCAAAAGTTCAGGAGGCCACCCGGACGGCAGAACAAGATCTTCCTTCAAAACAGACATGAGATGGTAGCAAAAACAATCTGAGCACTGCGGAAGCTGAGATAAGCCTCGTTCATTTAAGGCTGACCCAATTTCCAACATAGAGCCTGTCATCAACAAAGAAGTAGATAAAATAAAAAAGCTTCTTAGTTGTTTGGAAAATGCTCGTGTGTGGAGGACGGAGGACAACTTTGGAAGTTCTTTCCTTCCACTATGGGGTCTTGGGATCAAACTCAGATTGCCAGCCAGTGCCTGCTGAGACATTTTACTTGTTTCCTTTTTAGTAAATAAAAGGGTATTACGTGTATGGGTGTGAGTGTGACCATGGAATCTAGACTGGGGGAATTTGCATTCTTTGGAGAAAGAATCTTGGTCTTTGTCACTCAGCTGGCCTGAAAGCAGTGCTAGTCCTCTTGTCTGGGCCTCTTAAGTGCAGGAATAATCGGTGTGTACAACAGGCACTAACTCATTGTTTTCTGTTTTGCAAAAGTGATGGGTATTCAACATAGACAATACAGATCAAAGTGAAAACATTTATTTTTTATTATAAGGCAGGCTCATTGCTTTTAAATTAAATTAAAAAGGTTTAATTTCTCTAAAGAAAGGTTGAAGTGGTGGTTTTATAAATATAAGGAAATAACAGTCAAATTAGTGCTCAGTTTGCTATTAGTATAAGGAAAGGCAGAAAGGCTTTGTTGTTTTCTTACTTTATATGTATGAGCATTTTGCCTGTATGTATGTATGTGTACTACGAGTATGCCTGGTGCTCAAGGAGGTTATAAGAGGACATCAGATTCCTTGGAACTGGAGTTAGAGATGGGGTACTAGGAACTGAACCCTGTCTTAAAAGTTCTTGTGTCCTTGACAGATGCAGTCGTCAGTGCTATCTGGAAGGAGCTCATTAGCTTGGTGAAGTCAGTTACTGAATCAGGTAAGCACTATTCCATTGCTGAATGACCTTCATAGCACACAATGTAGTGCTTATTGAAGCCAGTGTCAGCCTTATTTGTATTAAATATGTTTCTGAGTTATTCTTTAAACAAAGAAGTTATGTAACAAATGTTTAGTTAAATAAAATTTTCAGAACTCTTAGTAGATATGCTCATCTAAAAAAACATGTTTGGAATTATACCCTTCTTCCTTTTACTCTTTGATAGGAAATAAGAAAGAAAGATCAGGTTCTGAAGTTTTGACCCTCCTACTAAAATCTTTGGAAAACATAGTGAAGTCAGAAGTATTTCCTGTATCAAAAACACTGGTAAATATATTGATAAATTGCCTCAAAGTCTAATTTTGAAATTGTTTATATTGACACTTGGTCAGATAATGTTTGGCATAGACCTTTATAATATTAACCAAATATTGACTAGTAATTTAGCTGTAAGTGCCTTTCAAATTTCATTTGAAACCTGTATAGTAAATAGCTGTAGCAGCAGCTACAAACATCTACATTGTGGTTAAAGGGATCAGCTTCAATGGAATAAAGGACATGCAACTTGAACTGAACAAATTTTAGTGTTCACAGTGCTTGGTAACAGCACATTGTCACTTTGCTTTTAATTATGCTTTAAACCTAAATAGTACAAATGGAAAAAGTAAGTTGTATATAATTTTTATATTAATGGAATAAATAATGTCCTTAAATATACTGTGCCTGATCTAGCATAATAGATGGTATCAAGTGCTCTAGAGCAGATTAGGTTAATTCTTTGTCCAAATAAGGGAATTTGGGTAATTAATTGCCTTGCTTTCTTGGCCTATCAGTTCTGAACTTGTATTTGTAAAGAGTATAGTTAGTAGTTTAAATAGTTAAATGTGTTTATGCTTGCAAAGCACTATGGACAAGGCACAAATTAATACTGCTAGCTTTAGTGTATTTCCAAATCTTGCTAAAAACATGTTTCTACTAAGGTAACTTATGACACTTAACACTTTGTAGTTCATATTAATACAAGCACAGGAAGACTTGCTGAACAGTTTAGGAGACTCAAGCATCTCTGGATTTGTAATAAGAGGATCGACTTGTAGGTAGCAAGCTGTTGAAATATTTGCTTCTAGGTCTGTTTAGTATGTATGTTGTTGCAGTTTCTTTTAACAGAATAAAAAAATACTGTGAAGGAAACCAGTTAAATTATGGATATTTGTTCATATACTGGCTTTTTTTTTTTATAGTAATACAAAAACTTGTAACAAGGTAGAAGGTCTTCATTTTTTTCTCTCTGAACTTTTGAAATAATGTGTATAATATATATATAATATATAAATATACACACACAAGTCAATGAATATACTGTAATGAATCATGAGTGACGGTTACTTAAAATTGTCAGAAACATAGAGAAACAAAGTTTTTACTGAGTAACAGGTTTTGATGGCTAACTATTGTAAAATCTTTCTTTCTTAGGTCCTCATGGAAATTACTGTTAAAGGACTTCCTCAGAAAGTATTAGGTTCACCAGCATATCAGGTTGCTAATATGGATATTCTTAATGCAAGTATCTTAAATGTAGTGCAGTGATATGATAAAGGTTGTTAAAAAATAGAAATTCCTTTAGATTTCTTAAAAAAATGACATTTAATTGGATTTGGTTGATTAGGTTAAAAAAAACTTGTATGCAAAACAATAGATTACTCTGAAAAATTAAAGATGGTGCTGTGCCAGTAGATGGTCTTCCCTGGATTGAATACTGGATTCAAGAAAGAACATTCTCTGTTGGTTTGTATGGAGTAATATTGCTGGCTACTGCTAAAATATTTGAAAGCTTAGTAATATTATCTTAATAATGTGAAATATACTTTGTTGTGTGAAACAGATATTGTGAGTCCAGCAAGTCTAGGTATTTGTGTGTTTGTTATCTGATACCGCACTATCTTTGATTTCTCACGGAAGAACTATGATCAGAGCATAGAGATGGGTTGTTTTTTTTTTTAACATTTGTATTTACTGTTCATTTTATATTTAATTATGTCTTTGTGTGGATGTGTGTGAGTGCAGTACTTTGAGAGGCTAGGAGAAGGTAGTGTATTCTGGAGCTAGAGTTACAGATGGTTGTAATCCACCTGATATGGGTACTGAGAACTGAAGCCTGGTCCTTTGTAAGAGCAGAACACAACTCTTAACCACTGAGCCATCTCTTTAGCGTTATTTTCAAAAGAAAAAATTTAGACCATGTCTTTTTGTAGCCCTAGTTGACTCCACTCTATAAACCAGGCTGGCTTCTTCCTTTTTTTTTTTTGTTTTTTTTGTTTTTTTTGTTTTGTTTTTTTTTTGTTTTGTTTTTTGAGACAGGCTTTCTCTGTGTAGCCTGTCCTGGAACTCACTCTGTAGACCAGGCTGGCCTCAAACTCACAGAGAACCGCCTGCCTCTGCCTCCCAAGTGCTAGGATTAAAGGTGTGCGCCACCACCACCCGGCCGGGCTTGCAAGATTCTTGCCTCCCTCCTAAGTGCTGTTGTCAAACCTGGCTTGTTTTGTTTTGAAGACAGGGTCTCATTAGGTATCCCACACTGGCCTTGAACTCAAGATCCTTCTACTTCAGCCTGTGGCTGTTATGATTAAAAGTGTGTGCACCTGTGCCTGGCACTGCGGGTAGTTTTCAAATAAACTTGCTGCTGTTATACCCTAAATAATGTTAAAAGTTAGTTTTCATGCTAAAATAAATCATGTTAATGACTGTAGAAAACAAAAACTGTTCTTTTTACTGGGAATTGTAACTTTGTTTTCTTTTCTCTTCAGGGAACTCCAGCTTTGTTCTTAATCCAGTTAATTTTCAACAACAATCTTTTAGAATGTGGTGTAGCAGATGAAAAGTAAGTTTGTACCTTGTTCTTAAGTCCTGGCATGGTCTCATGAGTCTCAGGATGGCATGGAATTGCTGTGTCAAGAGAATGACTTGAATTGATTTCTTCTCTCCACTTGCTAATTTCTAGAAGTGTATCACCATGGCCTTTTTGTTTGTTTGATTTTTGGTGTTTTATTTAGCCCTGTCTAGCCTGGTTGTGTAGAGCAGGCTTCCTTGAATTCAGATCTGCTTACCTCTGCTTGCATTAAAGTGTATGCCAGTAATCCAGTCCCATGCCTTATTTTTCCTGCTTTCCTTTTTCATGAAAGATGAGATTCTTTTTATTCTTCCGGTATTTCACAAATTTGGTTTTAAAATTAAAAAGTTTTTCCTATTTCAATATCCTGTGTCTATACAGCCCAGATTGGCCTCAGTCTTATGGCAGTTCTGTCTATCTAAGCCACCAAGCTCAGTTGGTCATTTTGTGTATTGTGATGTGGCTTTGTAGCCAGGCCCATCTCATTCTAGATTTTTTTTGTATCATATTCCCTAACGTTGGGGTTTGCCACCAGGTCTTGTGCCACATTTTTTTTTTTTTTTTTTTTTTTTTTTAAGATTTTATGTGTGCGAGTGTTTTGCCTGCAGGTATGTCTGCACCATGTTCATGCCTTAGTGCTGTGGAGGCCAGAAGAGGGTATCAAATCCCTTGGATGTGTGGAGTCATGGATGGTGATAGTGTGGGGCCTGGGAACTGTAACCCAGACCCTGGAAAAACAGGTGTTCTTAATTGTAGAGTTTCGTTCTCCAGTTTTTGCTATAATTCAGTATTTGGGGGAGGGGGTGGTTTTGGTACATAACTACTCCAGCACCTACAGACTTGAGATAAGAGGCTGGGAGTGGTGTTCGAGGCAAGGGGGGTAGATAATAAAATAGACAGAAATTCATCATTTCTTGTGTTCAGCTGTTAAGTTTAGAATTTTGCTAATGCATAATGTCTTTCTGGATGAAATACTCATTCTGATCCATTGTTCCTATTTTTTAGGTTTTTTCTCAATCTAGAAACACTTGTAGGATGTGTGCTTTCTGGTCCAACTTCACCATTGGCTTTTAGTGATTCTGTACTAAGTGTGATTAATCAGAATGCAAAGCAGTTGGCAAACAAGGAGCATCTCTGGAGAATGTGGAGTATTATAGTCACTCCACTGACCGATAGGATTCATCAGGTATGGCACGTCTGCTATGTCCCCTCACCGGGGTTTGGACTAATACTTAGAAAGCATGCTTAGAGATCAGGCTGGACTTCTTCTGCCTGGCAGTCTTCCTGCCTCTGCTCCCTCAGTGCTAGGAGGTTACAGACTTGTGCCACCATGCTAGCCCCCTCCCCATCCCCCAGGTATGAGTTTAAATAAAAATAACACTTTTTGAAACTTTTTTTTAAATGCAGTTTGGGATTGATCTGTGTATTTGATTCCATTTTTCATAGTGTAACAGCTCCTTATCCTATAGTAGTGCTGATAACACTGGGTCCTTTTTCCTCATTTTTGGTTTGTGTCAAGTATCTCCTGTGTAGCCTATGCTGGCCTTCCACCTACGACTTTCTGCCCCATCCTCCCAATATTTTAATTGTTTGAATACTTACATTGAAGTGTACCAGATAAGGAACAATGAAAAATGGTCTTTGTTTTCTTGTTGTCCTCTGGAAACAAACTTATCTGTATGTAGCCAAGCCGGCTTTATGTCCTGGCTTCCCAAAGCTGCCCTAAGGTTTGCTTATGACACCTGACCTGTGATTGCTTTCAATAGGTTATATGTATAGAGTCAAGCCGTAGTGCCTCCGCAACATTTAGCCTTCTCTTAAGTTTGGAATCTATTAAGAGTAGAATAGTTTTTACATTTTGTAAGTTTCAAGTATTATTAATAAGATGTAGAACACAAGTTCACTTTTGTGTTTTTGTTGTTTTGGTATATTTTGTTTGCTTTTGATGCATAAGTTCAATTTTTTTATTTTTTTTTTGGAGTATTCTTTAGGTTGATTTTAAGTCACTCGAGGAATGAAAAAACTCCACAGGAGATTTTTACAAAAGTCTGCTTTTTAAGCTAGTGCTCTCCTGGAAGGAAAATAGATTATATTTCTAAGAATCTCACCTTGAATGGTAGCAGGGGTTCTTTATGAGTCTATTCGTCTGACTAATGTTTTAGGAATTGTTTAAGGTTCTGTGTTTTTTGTTTTGAGATGGTGACTCTCTAGCAGCTTTCCCTAGAAAGGTTGGCAGTCTTCCTTCCTCAACCTTCTAATGCTGTGATTACATGTGTGAGTTATAAGTACTAGCTTGGGAGCTTAGGGTTGTTTCAGAAATTAAAATCAGTTTTTTAGTTAGGGTTTCTATTGCTGTGAAGAGACACCATGACCACGGCAACTCTTACAAAGGAAAACACTTAACTGGGGTGGCTTACATCTTCATAGGTGTAGTCTGTTATCATGGCAAGGAGCATGGTGGCATGTAGGCAGACATGTTACTGGCTACATCTTGATGAAAAGGCAACAGGAAGAGAACTGAGTGTCACATGGATTGAGGCTTGAGCAAAGGAGACCTCAAAGCCCACCCCTGCAGTGAAACACTTCCTCCAACAAAGCCACAACTCCTACTAGTGCCATTCCCTTTGGGGGTCATTTTCTTTCAAACCACAGTCAGTATACTTGGTTTATAGGGGACCTCAGGGTCTCCCTGTCCATGTCTCCACCCACTCCACCCCCAAGGTTTCTGAGAACACCAAATTCATATGAACAGGTGGTGAAAACAGAATTAATTTGTTTTTTAAATCAATTGTTGTTTTATGTTGTTGAGTACTAGAGTCAAGACCAAAGGAAAAATTGTATCTCCAGATAATCACTGGGCTATAGTTCTAGCTCTAATAATAAGTAGGAACCTATGCTATCAGTTCTGAAGACTAGAAGTCGTTTTTCTGTTTTGGAGCCCTGAGAGAATCTGTTGCCTTCCTCTGTTAATAGTGGTAGCCGGCAGTCCATGACCTTGAATTGTATCCACATAATTTCGGGTGTCTCCCATGGTAGTCAGGTTGCCATTTGTTGGGTGTGACATCACCATATTTGAGTATGACCTCATCTTGAGTCTGGACAGGTCTTTAGTTCATCTCAGTAAGGTCATACTTGTATCTAAGGGTAGAAGTGTAACATCTCTAGAATGGGTTCTGGTAGAACAGTTTGTTCCATGTGAGTTATGTTACCAGGTAGGATTAAAATTAGATGGTAATTTAATTATGTATTTTTTTTGTTTCAGACCAATGAAGTGAATCAAGGTGATGCCTTAGAACATAATTTTAGTGCCATCTATGGTGCATTGACTTTACCAATAAACCATGTTTTTTCAGCTCAGACATTTCCCATGGTAAGAATGTATATTGTTTGTATAAGGGGTTTGTGCCTTTCTGGAAACTGCCTTTATATATGATTAGAACTAGCTCTAATTTTCCTTGCAATTAGAATTGTGGGGTGGACGAATATTTGTGGGGAGGCAGAGAAGACAGTGCAATGAGGCTTCTTTGATTTTTGACCTTTGGTAATTTCTGATACCCATCATATAGAACTTAATAGGGAGATAACAGCTTATAACAGATCCCTCTGACACTTAAATGTTAATCCTGTTATATTTGGTCAATTGGTGTCAGTTTACCCGGTGTCTTTTTTGTTAGGCTACCATGAAGACTTTACTTAAGACGTGGTCAGAGTTATATAGAGCATTTGCATGCTGTGCTGCTCTGGTGGCGACAGCAGAAGAGAACTTGTGCTGTGAGGAACTTTGTTCTAAGATACTGTGCAGCGTGGAAGATGAAACCCTTTTGGTGAGTTTCCCTGTAGTGTACATGTGTAAAGTAGAGATAACACTCAACAGTGAACAGTGTCCAGCAGCTTCTCTGTAAGAGGTCCAGTTCATGTAGGAAACACAAGTCTCATTACCTTGGGTGCTTCTTTTTCTTAACCTCAGTCTAAGCTTTCCTTAATGTCTTTGTGCTACAGTTCACCTTCCTACTGATTAGTTCTGAAATTCTTCTCTACCTCAAAGCACGAATCTTGGTTATGCCCAAGTCAAAATCCCTAAATGATAAGGAGAGTGAGCACAGTCTGCTAAGTTGTGGCTGCATGGAGCTGAGTGTCTTGTCTCCCTTTTTTTGCTACAGGCTGTGTGAGATCATCCTTTGTAGAACTTACTGGATGGAAGTAGTTGGCATGGAAAGGAAAGCACATTAAACAGCTTTTTTCCTTCTGAATGGGTCAAAATTCTGGAGGGTAGGCTCAGTCAGCCCTTGCCTATTCTGATATGTAGAGAGAAAGTTCATGGCCTTTGGCTGTTAGAGATTGCTGAATCAGACTTTTTCTGCAGTACTTGGGCTGGCAGCTTCACTATGTTCTCTTCTGCCACTTGGTTGATGTTTCTGACCTTTGACATTCTGGTGAAGAGGCCCAAACTCCTATATGACTTCCCCAGCCATGGACTTTTGACCAGACTTTCTGGGCCAGGCATGAAATGACCTCAGATCCAACCAGAAAGCAATTAGTTATTGTAATAGCAATACATAACTGTTCTTTCTGTCCCCTTGCTGGGGTTGGGCATGCTCTACCCGACAGCTGACTTTGGTCAGACTTGCTTATCATTTCAGAGCACCAGCTCTTCCTCTGTGTTGATGTTTTGGTGTCTGATTTTGATTATCCCTTCCTATTTACTGTTTGGAGTTTGGATTGTTCTGTTTTTCCTGAGTCTTTTGGTGTATCATGAAGTTATTGATGTGATCTCACATTGTGATATAGGTCCTTATACTGTAACTTTCCTCATGACTGTCCTTTATGTCCCTTAGATTTTGGTGTATTTTCATTTTCTTCCAATTCTAGGAATTTTAAAAATTTAATTTCTAATTTCTTCAGTGGTTGAATTGTCATTCAGTGGTGTGTTGTTTAGTCTGTTTTTTTTTTATAGTTTTGCTGTTGATACCTAGCTTTAGAATATAGTATGTTATTTTAATTTTGTTACTTGTTGAGACTTCCTTTGTGTCCTACCTAATTAATTGGTGATCAATTTTGTAGGAAGTTCCATGAACACTGCTGAATAGAGTGTGTGTTTGTGTATTCCTCAATGTTTATGTCAATCTGTAGTGTTGAGTCCATTTGCTGTATGGTGTCATTAAACTGAAGTATTGTAGATGACAAAAACTATTGAAAGTGTATTGGAGTCACCTATTATCACTGTGTTGGGGTTATCTGTGGTTTTACATCTAAAATTTTTTTTTAAAATGGGTATGCTTGTGTTTGCATATGTTTAGGGTTGTAATGTCTCTTGGTGTGTTGTGTGAAGTGACCATATCTCATTTGAGTTGTTTGATTTGAAGTCTGTTTCGTCAGATCTTAGAATATTCTTGTTACCTAAATCCATTTGTTTGGAATACCTTTTTTCTTCCTTTTACCTTGAAGTGGTTTCATTTTCCTTCTGGTTTTTTTGAGACAGGGTTTCTCTGTGTAACAGTCCTGGTTGTCCTGGAACTCACTTTGTAGACCATTTGTAGACCAGGCTATGATCTCACTGAGATCTGCCAGCCTCTACCTCCCAAGGGCTGGGATTAAAGGCGTGTGCCGTTGTCGTCACTGCTGCCACCACCACCCAGCTAACGTGGTTCCTATCTTTGATGAATTGTTTCTTGGAGGCAGCAGAGATAGATCCTATTTTCTAACACCATGTGCTACTTGTTCGTCTCTTCAGACTAAAGTATTTTCCTTGTAGAATTCCTTTCATCTGTTTCTCATGAAAGGGTTTTATTTCTCCTTTCAGGGAGGGGTGATAGCAGTTTTACTCACAGAAATCCTCCTGCTTCTGTCTTCTCAGTGCTGGGATTAAAGGTGATGCCACCATGTCCAGCTTTTGATTTTGATACTTTTACTGAGTATGATAGGTTTTGTTGACAGTGGAGACTTTTCAGAACCTGGAAGGTGTCTTTCTGGCCACTTCTTGTTTTAGACGTCTCTGTTAAGTAATAGGTGTTAGTCTGAGACTTGGATTGTTTCACTTGCAGCTTGTCAGTATGCTTTCTTTGTGCTCCCTCTCCCTTCCCCTGAGACAGTTTCTCTGTAGCCTTGGCTGTCTTGGAACTAGCTTTTAGACCAGGCTGACCTCAAACTTGGATCCATCTGTCTGCCTCCCATGTGCTGGGATTAAATATGTGTGCCACTGGCACCTGGCTTAATGTTTTTAAAAACTGTATATTTTGGGGATTTTATTTATTTTTGATCCTTTTTGGAGTTCTATAGACTTTTACCTGATGGGCATCATTTTTTCTAGTTGTAGAAAATTTTCCTCTATAATTTTTGAAAATATACTCTGTGACCTTGATAAGGTAGTCTTTAATGGCCATAATCTAAAAGTTAGGTCTTTCCATGGTGCCCCAAAGTACTAATATTAGTGGATTATTTTGTAAATTTATCATTACCTTCACTAAGTGATCCAATTTTCTACCTTTTCTTTAGCCCTTATGCTGTTTTGCATATAGTTTATTCATTTAGTAAGGCTTTCCACTGAGGTTTTTATTGGCTTACAGAACTTTTCCCAGCATCATTTCAGATTGGCTTTTCTTCAGTAATTTACATCTCTTTATTGAATTCTGTTTCATGTCTTATATTGACATCCATATTTCATTCATCTTTGTTTTCATTCTCCGACAGTATAACCATTGTTTTAAATTTTTTGGAAGTCCTTCCAGGTTGTTATTTGGATCCATTAAAATGGGATTTATTTTTAGAGAACACATGCTATCTTGGACTTGTTTGTTTCCGTGCTGGTACTTAGCATCTGTAGTTAGTTGAATGGAAGTTTGGGTGTGGGGCTGAGGGTCTGAGGACCGGAGGATCAGGAACCGGAGATGCCTTTTCTGTGTGAACTTGGAACACTATGGAAGTTTGGAATTTGAACTTCTGATTTCCTCTCCCCACCTCCTGAGTGCTGGGGTTACAGCTGTGACCTACTGTTCCTGGCTTACTTGATCAGGCTTCATGCATGCTATCCAGGGACTCTACTGTACCAAATAACTTCAATTACTCTCCCGTTGATTTTATTTTAAAATTTACTATTGGGGTGGGAACATGGGGACCTATGATGTAACACTTGTAGAGGCCAGAGAACAACTTTTGGGAGTTGATCTTTCCCTTCCACAATAGGTTCTGGGGTTGAATTTAAGTTGTTCCCAAGCAGTCTTGAACCCCTCTCCTTAGTGGGTGTGATGATATATATGTGGGATGAGAGTGTGATGCTTACGTGCATGTAGAGGCCAAAGGAGAACATTGGCTGTCTTGGTCTATAATTCCACCTTATTTATTCCCTTAAGACAGGGTCTCTGGAGCCTTTGTTACTGTGCCTGGATGTATAACTTTGACACTTAGCAATTCTCATCTCCAGTGACAGACTAGATTTTTCTTTAATTATAACATTATACTGTGTGTGTGTGTACGTGTGTACGTGTGTACACACATACGTACATATACATGCACACATGTTAGTGTACTTTTTGTATTAGTGTACCTTTTGAAGTCAGAAGGTAACTTGTGGGAGTCAGTTCTCCTTCTACCATATGGGTCCTAGGATTGAACTCAGATTGTTAACTTCGGTGGTAAGCACTTTTACCCACTGAGTAATTTCACCAGCCTCCTCCTTTCCTTCCTTCCTTCCTTCCTTCCTTCCTTCCTTCCTTCCTTCCTTCCTTCCTTCCCTTTCTCTCTCTCTCTTTTCTTTTTTTTTTTTTGGAGACAGGGTTTCTTTTTGTATCCCTGGCTGTCCTGGAGCTCACTCTGTAGACCAAGCTGGCCTCAAAAACAGAGATCTGCTGGGATTAAAGGTGTGGGTCACCACTGCCTGGCTCTTTTTGGATTTTTTTTAACATGGTAACAGGGACATCATTTAAGCATAGTGCTTATTTGGTGAATCCTTAACCCCGTAGTGTTTGGACAGACATTTGGATATGATGCTGAGTATTTCTAGATTCCTTTGACGTTGACTGCTTTGTTGAGCTTGATATCAGTTCCCACTGTGGAATCCTGTCTCTGTCATAAAATAAGTTTGGATCTTTGAGAGTGCTTAAGAGGTACTCTCTGAATCCTGTAATTCCATGGAGGTCTTGTGAAGGTTGATGGTTTACCTTGTTGGTGGAGAATACCTTTCTTCTCTGTGCCCTTCTTTGTTGGAGGCATTCTGCATGTCCCGAAAAGTAGTAGCTGTAGAGATTGTGTCAGGGGAAAGCCATATTACCTTTTTTATTCTTGTTTTCTACCAGCCTCTGCTCCACTTTTTCAGTTCTATTTTTATTTCTTTTGGGTTAGGAATGAGGAAGAAAGATAGAGGAGCTTATTTAGTGGTTGTTTTGTTGTATTTGTGTTCACGGGGCTTAATATAATTTTCAAGACTTACTTCATTTTTTAAAGATGTGTGTGCATGTGTGTGTGAGTGCCCAGGGAGGGTGGAAGATCCTCTGGGACCTCATATAGGTGTGCATTTTCTGTACCAGCAAGTGCTTCCACAGCTGAGTTGTCACTCTAGTTTTGAGGGTGGGTTTTAGGTAAAGCTGTGGCAAAGACCTTGCACACATCCCAAGCAATAAATAAATGAATGGAATTTATTGGTGGATATGGCTTTCTTTGGATACTGTAAAGATCCATGATTTTCCCTGAGTGTTGAGAAGCACAGTGTTTGCCATAGAACATCTAACTGGGATGTATTTGTAGCATAAATAATGAAAAGTTTTTGTGCATATTCACTGTTACTTGAGTACTATTCCTGTAGTAAGATTTTTTGATTATGATACTTAAATTTTTTCCTAGGATTTGTTATTCTTGGACAGGATCTCTCAAATTATTATCGTAATGGTTGATTGTATCGACTTTTCACCATATAATATTAAATATCAGCCCAAAATCAAATGTAAGTATTTTCTTTACCTTTATTTGTTTATACAATATTTTACAGCATTTCAGAGAAAGTTCTTTTTTTTGTTCTGTTTTGTTTTTTGAGACAGGATTTCTCTGTGTAGCTCTGGAGCCTTTCCTGGAACTCTGTAGCCCAGGCTAGCCTCAAACTTAGAGATTTATTAGCTTGGGACTTTATAGCTCATAACGTTCTGGAATTTATTTGTTGGTGAGTCTTCTGTGATTACAGTCATGATCTTCCTGGTTGCCAATCACTATGATTTCTGAAATGATCACAGTGTTTTCATTTGATTACTTTAATTAGTTTGTATCAGAAGTCAATTTCTTACCAATTACATCATGAAGTCCCTATTTTAAATCCTCGTTCTCATAATATTTATTTCACAATTATTGAATAGAATTATAGTTTGAATTCTAGAGGTATGGATAATATGTTCTAATATAACAGCTCAAGCTATCAGTGTGGACTTCTGGATTTTTTTTATATTTGGAGGTCACCACAACATGAGGAATGGTATTAAAGGGTCAAAGCATTAGGAAGGTTGAGAACCACTGTTCTATTTCTTACCACTAAATTTTTTGAGACAGTATTTCACTAATTGACTAGACTGGCCAGCAAAATCCTAACCTTAATATTCCTGTTTCCTCCTTTCAGCCTTATATAACACGATATTCAGCCTCCCGCACTTTTTTGTTTTATTCCCTCTTTTGTAGATACCATTTACCTTCTAAAAGTTCTTTTTTTGTTTGTTTGTTTGTTTGTTTGTTTTTTCTGGAGCTGAGGACCGAACCCATGGCCTTGTGCTTGCTAGGCAAGCACTATACCACTGAGATAAATTCCTGACACACACCCCCCCATAAGTTCTTTTCTTCTCTGTACTGGGAGATCAAACCCCAGAACCTTTGCTTGTTAGAAAAGCACTTTATTACTGAATGACATCTTTTTCTTATAGTATTTTGACAAATTTCCACTGTTTGAGTTTGCAGAATATTCAGCTATATCTTGTACTTTTCTTATAGCTTGGGATTATTTCCCCCAGAAACATAATTCTTTTTATCTGAGACTGGGATGTAAAAATCCATACCAATTCATTGCTACTAAGGTACCATTGTTTCTGAGTCCTTTTACTGAGGAAAGCTGGGGCATGGCTAGGTATGTGGTCTGTGTTACCTGTTTCTGTGGATATGCTTCTGGCTGCCATGATTCTGCATGGTTCTTGCTGCATTGTACCTAACCAATTTAAATGAGAACCTTGCTGCCGGTATTCTAAGTATATAGACAGGTAAAATTTGGTCAGGCAATTTTTATGAGTTCCTGACATCTCCTGGCACCTCAGGCTTGACATTTGTACGAGAATTTCTGAGTTGTATTTAAACATGCTTATGTTGAAGAAACTGATCCTAGAAAGAATGATTGACATTTTTAGTAGCAACCCTGGTTTTAATTCACCTTGAAAAGCGAGTAAGGTATGAGTTAAACTTCCCCCTCCCTTAAATATGGGCTTTCCTAGGACTTGATTGTCTTACAAAAAGAAACAAGTAATTTTGGAATAAGAATGACTTTCAGGGCAAGAGAAAAATGAGGTTTGTTTTGTACCTGGAATCTGGAGAGAAATGATTGAGGAGGGACCGTAAAGGAAATGTGTGCTTTTAAGTAAATGTTAGAGTCTATAAAATCTATAACTAGAGTTTCTTTGAATTCTCTATTTCCAGCGATCAATGAATTGTATGTAGATGATCCAGGAATATTAATTTCTATTGAAATCATTTAATATTGAAAACCCATGGTGATTTAGCTTTGTTGCTTCAGTCATGTGGTTTAGTATTTATAAACTCATTGAAATTCTGAGGAAAACAGAAATTGAAAAGTATTTTAAAATACCCTAGGAATTCTTTTTTTCTGGGATTATTTGAGATCTGCTAGCTCTTTTCTGTTGTATTTGGTTTTCATTTCTAAAGCTACTCTATTGATATTTATTCAATAATGCTTTAACCATTTGAAGGTTTATCTGAGGTGTTAGTTAACAAGAACATGTATATTTGATGTATGTAACATTTGAATGCAAAACGTAAAAGTGATATTGATACATATCAAAGTACTTAAGTTTTTAATCAACCCAATTGTGTCTTAGCACCACAGAGATCTTCAGATTGGTCCAGAAAGAAGAAGGAACCCCTTGGGAAATTGGCTTCTTTATTTAAGCTAATTGTGAGAGTGATCCATTCTTTCCACACTCTGACCTTCAAGGAAACATATTCTGATACACTGCTTACTATTGGTAACTCTGTCATCAGTATGCTGTCCAGTATATTTGGACATATTTCCTTGCCGTCTATGATCCGAGAAATATTTGCCACTTTTACAAGACCTCTGGCTTTACTGTATGAAAATGCAAAGTAAGTATTTTCATCTTATTCATGTTGAATTAAGTAGATATGATTCTTCTTGTGTATTTTGCATGTGTACATGTTCATGTAGATCTCATACATGTAGAGATCACAGACTGCCTTCTATTAACTCTCTACCTTGCTTTTTGAGACAGGGTCTCTCACTAACTTTGAGCTCCCCAATTCCAGCTGCAGACTCTAGGAAGCACCAGGATATCCTCTTTAGTGCTGGGGTTGCAAGTCTGTGTGTCCTCATATCTGGCTTTGTATTCAGGTTCTCGGGATCCAGACTCATGAACTCATGTTTGTGTGACAAGCACTTAACCAAAAAAGCCAATCTTCTCAGCCCTAATATGTGTAATTTAAATATAATTAGTAACTTTTGCTTTCCTCTCAGCTTTATTGTCCTGGATGGTGTTCTAGAATAGATCTGTATATATTCTAGAATGTAGAAGTTGGAGATGGGACTTAGAACTACTACTATTCCATTTGACTTTTTTTTCCTTCCCTTGCACTTTTCAGTTTTGCATGTGATTTTTGTAATTGTTTATACAAAGAAGCATGCTTATTAAATGTATTATAATACAGATCTATTTGATTTGATATTATGCAATTGAAAACACTGTATGCAATTATATACATGGAAATCTCATTTTCTTAAACTCTTAACCCAGTTTCTGACCAGTGAATTCCTGTGGTTCTCTATCCAGCTTTTTCTGTCAAGATACATTGACATATGTCATTGTTTGTATTGATCATGTCTGTTGAGCAAGGTTCTTTGTTTATTTTGTTTGATTTGTTTTCTGTTTTTGAGGCAAAGTCTCAAAAACAAAAAACAAATCAAACAAAATAAACAAAACTCTGACTGTCCTGGAATTCACTGTAGACAGGCTGGCCTCGAACTCACAGATATTTGCCTGCCTCTGCCTCCAGAGTGCTGAGAGTAAAGGTGTGCGTCATCACCGCGTGGCCACAGATTTTTTTTTAAAGTCATTATTTTATTAAAAATGGACAGGAAGAAGCCAGAGCGATGGCTGAGCAGTTAAGAGTGTTTGCTGCTCTTATAGAGGGCTAGAGTTTAGCTCTCAGCCTCCACCTTGGGGAGGCTTAAACTGCTTGTACCCCCAGCTTTAAGTGATCCTTTCCTCTTCTGATCTCTGCCTCTTCCCTGGCCTCCACAGGCACCTGCCTACACTTTAAAAAAAATGTGTAGGGGTCTGGTGAAATAGTAAGCACTAGCTAACATACACAAAGTCCCCGGTGCCATTCCTACCCCTGCACAAAGAAAAGACAGGAGATGGACAGTAGATACCATGAGCACTTGAAGTCTGTTCTAGGCGTTTGTAAAGATTCATTTAAATGTTTATATGATAACTTCTTGCTTGACATTTGGCAGTCTTTTCTTATTCTTGCAATATTTTACATTACTGTGAATGTTTTACCTTTTGTTTGTATGGCTCTGTTCTTCTCTTGGAGGCTTAGCTTGATAACTAACTAGTGCAGTGATGGTATCTTAAAATATAAATGGTAACGGTTTTACATCTGTCTTCCCAGGCTTGATGAAGTTCCTAAAGTGTATAATAGTTTGAACAACAAGGTAAGTAGATAGTGTCCATAAAATATACTTAATGAGGACAGCATATGGTTTATGCAGTTATCTTTCTTAAACATAATTGATTTTAAGTGGTTATTATTAGTATTTTCCATTTATATATACATTTGGTATGTGTGAATGCATGCCGTGGAGGTCAGAGGACATGTGCAGGAGTTGATTTTCTCCTACACTGTAGGTTCCAGGGACTGAAATCATGCCCATCAGCCTTAATGGCAAGTGCCTTCATTCCTTCTTATCTTACTGCATTACAAAATTTTTAAAATTTATGTGCATTTGTGAATGATTATGTATAAACTATGCTACCTTGGGAGTCTGAAAGAGGTCAGATTCCCCTGGAGTTAGAGTCACGGGCAGTTCGGGTGCTGGGAACTGAACTCACTGACCTTGAAGAGCAGCAAGTGCTGTTAGCCACTGAGCCCCCAGCCCCATTGCTTCATTTGTAACGATCATAAAACAGTAAGGGATGGATGGATTCTTGGGTAGCTGGGTTTTTTCTTTAGAGTTTACTATTATTTTCAATTCATGTAATTCTTGGGTCTTATTCCTTTTTATATGAGGATTATTGGCTATAATATTTTATTGATAAATTGTGTAGGGTTATTAATTACCATTACAACTAATAAAACATTTTTCCTGTTAACAAGAAATAACTTCAAATTAAATTACAATATTAGTACTCAAAGTAAATTTATCTGATAGTTTGTTCATTTATAAAGAGGAGTGTATAGTTATGGTGACTATGGTGTTGCTTAAAGATGGTTCAGATTTGGGGCTAGAGAGATGGCTCAGAGCTTGAGAGCACTGATTGCTCTTCCAGAAGATCCGGGTTCAACTCCCACATGGCAACTCACAACTGTCTGTTACTGTCTGTTAAGATCTGATACTCTCACACAGACATACATACAGGCAAAACACCACCGCACATTAAATAAATGCATACATACATGCATACTAAGATGGTCCAGATTTTTAAAATTGAAATAGTAACATGTTCTATAAATTTGTGTTTAGTATACTTTTTGCTTCTCCTGCTCTTTCCTAGTTAGAAAAGCTATTAGGAGAAATCATTGCTTGTCTACAGTACAACTACCCTGGAGCCTATGACAGTGAACTTCTTGGACAACTTTCTCCACTTCTGTGCATAGTATTTCTTCACAAGAATAAACAGATTCGGAAACAGAGTGCTCTGTTGTGGAATGCTACATTTGCTAAAGCGACAGCTCTGGTTTATCCCGAGGAATTAAAGTAAGTTAGCATCACAACTTCCTATAGTTGCTTGCTCCATTGTGATCATGTAAACCTGTATTTGGGTTCTAGCAGAAACTTCACATAGAGTTTAATTTTATCATCAGGCTATGTAGTAGCCATTAGACTTGGGTTGACTTCTATTAGACTTCACATTTTGGGGAACCAGTATATGCACCGGAAAAATACTTACACCAAGGGCAGAGGATTGAGGTTTATTAATAAAGCCAGACATGGGTAGTAATATTTAACTCTTTTCTTTTTCTTTTTTTTTTCTTTCTTTTTTTAAATTTTTTTTCTTTTTTTTTCTTTTTTTTTTCTTTTTTTTTTCTTTTTTTTTTTGAGAAACGATCTCTACATAACCCTGGATGTCCTGAAACTCATTGTGTAGATGGATCTGGTCTCAAACTCAGAGATTCACTTGCCTGTGCCTCCTGAGTGCTGGGATTAAAGGCATATGCCACAACATCTAGCATATCCTAAAAACAAATTGAGAAAAAATTATTTATATGAATAAGTGGTTTCCTTATACGTGGGTTTGTGCACCACTTCAAAGTCTGGTCCTTGTGGAGGCCAGAGGTCATTCATTGTCTTTAAAGAACTGGATTAGACTGTGAGCTGCCAGGTCCTTTGGAAGAGCCATCAGGGATCTTAACTTCTGAGCCACCTCACTAATTCCTAATAATGTTTGAAAAAATAATAACAATGTTTTTAAAAATGTGTATGAGTATTTTACCTACATGTATATCTGTATACCATGTGCATACCTGGTGGTAGTTTTGGAGGCCAGAAGAGGTTCCTGGATCCCCTGGAACTGGAGCTAGGGCTGGTTGTGAGACACCAGGTGGGTGCTGGGGATTGAACCTGGGTTTT